AAGTGGATAGAGGCAGGAGAGGAAACATAGAAAACAAAAGTTATCCCAAGTGAAAGAAATTATTCCCCCTCCCCCCAGTAGAATGGCAGGCCCCAAAACAAGAGCACAAGAGTATATATGCAAGGAAGATAATAAGGATATGGGGACCTGACAGTTTCATTGTTCCAGAGTTTTAGAAGAAACTTAAAAGCTGAGTTGATAACAATCTATCATTAGTGTGCCAATTACTACTTTATCTTTGACTACAGTCATTTATGAAAAGGATTGAAATTTTAAGAATTTTTTCTGATATATTTATGCACTACTTTTATAAATATTTGAGGTTTTTATTGTACGTGACCATATACTGATTTGGAATCTGGTTGTAAAAACAAAGTGATTAACTAAAATTCAGAGCACATGAAACAATATAGGGTGATGGATGTGCAGTAGGATTGTGCAAAACTTTGGATCCGACTAGGAAGAGATGCCTCAGAATGTGTGGGAATGCCAATGTAACATCTGTTTTCAGCTTATTAAAACAGCTGTGGACTTTAGTATAAGGATCCGCCTGGAATCAAAAGTCCAGACCAAATAAAATTGATCATCTCTCTGAAACTGATAAACTTTCATCATCTGCCTACAATAAAGACAGAGGAGATCTTATTCTCAGTTCTTTCATACAAATTAATATTTGATGAAGTAGAGGCAGTTGGATTCAAGTGTCTGTCCTATTGGGTCCAAGAGTCAGGCTGGTTAACAATGAGAGACAACAGGGCTTGAAATATTTCAGTAGAGGTTAATCAATGATACCCGAGAAGTTAGTGAACTATAATTATCAGAATCCCTATGGCCTTTGGTGAGATATTTTAGAAATAGTAGCCAACAATATTTGGAATAGCACAGATTGTCTACTCCTATATCAATCCTTGATGGCTTGGCAGAATAGTCCAGGTCTCCAACTCTCTTAAAAAATGTTTGTCCCACTGACTGCAGAAAAATGATTGTCCTAATGCTCCTTAGTTTCCCAGGTATTTGGCAAAGTTAAAAAAAGTAACTATTAAAAAACCATAAAAGAAAGATAAGTATCTCTATCCAATTCTGAGGCTAGCAATAATATTGTTCTTCATAAAGGAGTTTAACCAAGATATTAAAGATTTAAAGTCTCTGAAATAAATAGCTGGTAGAAAAATATTTTTAAAATCTTGTATTCAAAGATTTTGCTACATACCATTATTTATTCTGCAAACAACCAGGTTTAAAAGTATGTCGTAACTGTTACTGCTTTATACGGGTAGTTCTTGCTTAACAACCACAGTTGGGACTGGCAACTCTAATGCTAAGCAATAGTCATTATGTAAGACACCATATGATGTCTTACCATATGATACACTTACAACTTTCTTTCACTATGGTCATTAAGCAAATCTCCCATGATCATCATGTGGCCATGACTTGCAATTTTACTGCTGGCTTCTCCATCATCTTTCATTATATTGTAGGAAACCAACTGTGAAGTACACAGATTGTGATGCTCTGACTGAGGGACACTCAGTGGTTATAAATGCCCACTGACTGCAAAGTCCAAATCTGCAGAGATGCTGCAACAGTTGTATGTCTGAAGAATGGTCATAAAAGTTATTTTTTCAGTTCCATTGTAACTTCAAATGGTCACTAAACATGACATTTGATAAAACAAAACCTACCTGTAATTTAAAAATCAAAATATATTTCAAACCTGTCACAAATTCATCTATTTCTTTAATCTTTTATTTTAATACTTTGAAACTTTCCAACAGCTGGCTTAAATTGTAGTGTACTGCTGAATAGCATTGCAAAATTGGATATATCCTAGAATATATCAGATTATCTTATGTCAATGAAGACTAAACCAAAGTCCTACAAGTTTACTTAGAAATATTATAAACTACAGTTGTAAGCATGATACTTAAAATAAACAAGCTTCCAGATTTCAAGGATAAAGGTAGCAGTATAAAATATTCGACACTAATAAAATCACATCACCAAAAGGTAAGCCTTAGCATAGTTTCTGTTATTGAACAAATGTTTGTTGATCTAGAAGCATGCAGGTTTCATACAGACTGTTTATCTTGTCATATTGTATAACGGCAGCCTATTTTAATATTATTGGCTTCAGTGGTTTAATTTCAGGTACTTAACTCTATAGGTCTACTGAATCATTGAAGCAGGAACCTGTACAGAAGGCAATATACATATATTGTATGTGTGTACATACTTACAAAGATACTTTGATTATAAAATCCTAGAATTATGGACTAGGCAGGGACATCTAGTTCAACTTTGTAATGCACAGGAAAACCAATTAAAGTGTCCTTGAGAGATGGTTATCCCTCCTCTTTTTAAAAATCTCCATGAACGAGAATCCAGGTAGACTGCTCTATAGTTGTGTAAATCTTGTTGTCAGGTAGAGTAGTTTCAAACTATGATTCCATTACATGAAGATATGAGAATATCTACAAGCTTCAATCTAATTACTTAAACAGATCTTCATCTATGAGTAGCAGGAACTTTATTTACAGCATTTAGGAACTTAATAAGGTAGTAAGACACACATTCTCCATTTTATCTTTTTTGCAGTGAGAGAACTAGTCTAAACTGGCTAGCTCTATTGTAGTCAAATTCAGAATCATAACAAAGGAAATATCCTTAAGTGCTTTTCTAATTGGGTCCCTACTGAATCACAGATAGAACTTTGCTCACCAACAGTGTACACTACAATGCACTTCTGTTGAAAGGATGGCTTTTACAGACAACAAAATTACTATAAATGTGTAACATACCTCTCTTCTCTTGTCTCCATGGAATAATTCAAACCCAAACATACTTTGTAAGTCTACTATCTCTAAGTAACATATCTTAAAACAATTCTGTATGTATTATGAAACCCAAGCTTGTAAAACATAACTAAGATAGCTTGCCTTGAAAGTCTGTGTATTTGTTTAATACCTTTTCCAAAGCTCTTCCAGTTGAGCACCTTGATGATATCATGAGGTAGAAGCTGACTGTATTTTTTTTTACAGGGAACTCTTATAAAAATTAATTCTATGAGGCAGGAAAAAGCATCCCAACCCAAATCCATCATTCATTATTATATTAAAAGTACATATTTTCTTCTTTATCCAGCTAAACTTGTATAAATACATTATCTTTCTATTATGTCATGCTATTTATTATATTGGACAGTCAACAAGGAGGTTTACTTCAGCTCCTCAAAGGTCTAGATTTATTTAATGAAGTAAAATGTAATTATTTTTCTTTTTTTTAAGTAACATGAGAGTTTGCTAAAAGCTTTCCATGCACATTCATATTTATCAAGAGTAGCTGCTAATGTATTTGCAATTTTCATCTTATGACTTGTAGGAATAGAAAATGTACAATCTGTTCTATAAAAGGATGAAGCATTTTAATAAGGAATTACCAGTAAATGACTTATAACTGTTAACAGCTAAATCTTGTACTTTTCAACGAAGAAATAAACAAAATCTTGATCTTATCCTTTCAACTCCATTCATAAAACTGTAATGCTTTCTTGTTTTATTCAGTATTATATTCAATATTATATATAGAACAGTAGATATGGAAGCTAGAACTACCTGGTGTAGCAGGTGGGAGACTATTTCTGAAAATAGAATGTCTTTATTCTCCCTTATAACTTTGAATAAGGCAAATAATATCATCAGAATTTGCAGCTCAGTTCTAATGTCCAGAATCTAGTAAAGGCCTTCTCATCCATTCTCTCCCCCACCCCCTTCATTCAAGGTGATTCAACTGAATCAACTTGTTCAATAAAAGCTTTGAAACAAGTTTCTAAGGTGATTCAAATTCTCAAAACAAATCAATTGCCTTTGAATTATTTTGGAAAGATTCTAGAGCAATTCTGAGACTTGGTAGATTTTTCTAACTTTGTAAAACTTTTATACATTTTTCTTTTCATACATAAACAAAACTGGTAACGGAGGACTGAATTGTTATGAGCTTTCTGATGTTGATATAAATAGAAGAGAGAATTTTGTCAATTCTATGAACCCTGCTTATTTGAATCCTGGGGAAAAACTGCTGCACAGTTTATATCTCTCTTTCTTCTATTAGCATTCCAGTCCAAGACAGATACTGAATATTTGCAAAACTAATATGTAGTTCTTCCTCCACTGTACATGCAAGCAAATGCTCATGTGGGTGGATCTTTCGTATACATATTCAATAACAGAAATAATTCCTCTAGGATCTTAGTCTATTCTTCTGAATAGACCATGAACATTTATGTGGGAGTTAGTCAGCTGCAGTAATATAGGAACAATTATAGTCATTTACATACCATCAGACGTAGTCTAACTAGTTCAATATATTTGGTGCTGGCTGGGTCTTCAGTTTCTGACAAGATTATACCTCTTCATACCATATTTGGAAATGTCTGGATTAAAAATATGAGTTCTATATATGAAGCATGCATCACTTAGTAGCTACCAGTCACACTGACTTTCACACTGAAAATCTTGTTAAATAGTTGCTTCTTACCAGAATCTGATAGCTATTTAAATGAAAAATAAATAATCAAAAAATAACACTGTTGTTATAATATGGCAAAATCAGGCGACTGAGAAAGATCACATTTTGTAATGTTTATTCTAATTAATCAGGACTTGATGATACTCCAGGATAAAATGAATACTCAGAGTCCTATGGAGAAATACAGGAGCAATTTTACCACCAGACTATACTACCCAATCTGTCAGGTGTGAACAACTTGGCTCAGATGTGAAAAATTAAATTATTTGATGTATTTCTCAAGCCTATGCACAGGAAACTTCTCAGACTAACAATTTGCACCTGGGTGAGACTAGATGAGGTTCAAAGGCATTCAGGGAGGTTCAGACTTCATCTTCTTGTGCCCATAAAGGGATTCTAAACTAAGTCCCCATTTAACTCCTCCCCCTGGCTCAGCCAGTTTCTCTCCTATAAATCTTAAGAATAAAGATTACCTGCTGTAAATCAAGTGTGATGGTCACGTAGTGATATTCCTTTCCATTTTGAATACTAGGACTTTGCCACCATGTATTCTTGCCATCGATTGCATTTGATATTGGATGTCTCACTATTGAACCAAGAATAAAAAATAATAATTAGGGCAAAATGAATCTCATCTTCTTTACCCCTTATTCTGTTTTCATATGAGTGCAAGTAGAACATGCTATATAATATCTTAGATAAAATTATTTTTCTAAGTTTCTTATGACAGTGCTGACTTTAAAAAAATGCATACATTACTTTGTGATGAAATTCAGTTCATCAACTATTTTAGAAAGATACAATTATACAGTGACAAACTTTCCTTTGCCTAGCTGTATTGGGAAGAAGGAATAACCTTGATGAACAGAAGGAGGAACTTCAATCAACACAATTAAAAAAAGAAGTATAATTTGAGAACACTCCTCATACATGACTCTTTCTAGTTCTCACAAAGGTAAAGTAGGGAGGGAGGGAAAGAGGAAATACATTCTGACTTGCAAGATTCTGTTACTATAACTTTATACTAAAAGTAGTATATTTGCGTGTCTTTGGTTTCCAAGCTTTGTCTAACCTGGAAAACTTCTCATTTGCTTCTGCTCAGAATAAGCCACTGGATTCTGATGTAATGAAACAGCCATTAATTTCAATGGAAGCTGAAACAGATTGATCAGGCACCTTCTAATGGCATCATTAGTACTCAGAAGTGATCCCTAATAAACTGCATCTAAGGAAACTAATTGCTTCGTCATAGTGAACTTTTCTCAAATATGATAGCTAACTTTACTAAAAGTTTAACTTTGCTAAACTTTGCTATGTTTTAATATTTAATGAGAGAAAAACATATATAATATTAAAGTTATACAGAGATTCGAAGGACTGTTTCATATATAAATACACTCATATATGTATATATATATATATATATATATATATATATATATATATATATATATATATATATATATATTATGCAGCCAAAGCAGCCAATAAAGTCAAAACAGCTCTGCCTCAATGTTTTGATTAAGACATTGTTTAAGACATTTGTTTCTTCAAAGAACCGTGTTTCTTCAAAAAACCATTGAACCATGTTCAATGTCTATATTAACAGAGAAAACCTTTGTAATTTACTGCTCAAGAAACAAAAGCAATCAGATAATTTATCCTGGGGATGAGATTACTTATTCTGGCAAGACTAGCTCTTATATCATCTGAATATCTTAGTCTGTCTGCCCTTTTAGTGTCTTTCTCAGCTGAAATTGGTGGTCTATAAAAAGACTCACAGAGACAAGAGAATATTTTAATGGATAATGGCACCAGAAAATGCCCAAGATGTTACCTAGCTTGGTAATGAAACATTTGCAGGAAAAGAAGCACGTTCAAAGGACACAAAACAGTACCCAACAATTGAAAATAATTCCATAATTCAGAGTTAGCTTACAATGGTAGTACATCTGAGACTTTAGAAAGAGTACAGAGAAGAGCAACAAATATGATTGGAGGCTAAAACATACAAGGAACGGTTGTTATTGGTATGTCTAGTCTAATGAAGAGAAGGACGAGGGGGGACATGATAGCAGTGTTCCAATATCTCAGGGGTTGCCAAAAAGAAGAGGAGTCAAGCTATTCTCCAAAGCGCCTGAAAGTAGGACAAGAAGCAACGGGTGGAAACTAATCAAGGAGAGAAGCAACCTAGAACTAAGAAGAAATTTCCTGACAGATAGAACAATTAATCAGGGGAACAACCTGCTCCATCACTGGAAGTTTTTAAAAAGAGACCGGACAGCCTTTGTCTGAAATGGTATAGGGTTTCCTGCCTGAGTAGAGGGGTTGGTCTAAAACACCTCCAAGGTCCCTTACAACAGTATTTTATTATTATTATTATTATTATTATCGATCATCGCACAGTCAGCCAGATGTTCAGACTGGATTTGGCATTTTGTCTACCTATCGAGTCCTTACCCAGGACCTGGGATAGGCAGATGTGGATGTTTGATGGTATTACAGATATCGTCGCAGGATGGAAGCAGTTCCTAATAAGGCCGCCTTTTGCAATTGACTAATAGCGAATTTGTCAATGCCAATGGTGTTCAAGTGGTGCTCCAGTTGTTTTGGGATTGCACCCAAGGAGCCTATGACTATTGGTACTACCCTTGCTTGCTTTTGCCACAGTCTTTCTATTTCTATTTGTAGGTCTTTGTATTTTGTTATCTTCTCCAGTTCTTTCTCTTCTATTCTGCTGTCTCCAGGCACTGCCACGTCCACTATCCAGACTTTTTTGTCTTTCTTATCGACAATTGTTAAGTCTGGGGTGTTATGTTGCAGGTGCTTGTCTGTTTGAATTCTGAAGTCCCAGAGCAGTTTAATTTTATCATTTTCTATGACTTTCTCTATTTTATGATCCCACCAGTTTTTGCTTACAGGCAAATGATATTTTTTGCAGATCTTCCAATGCACCATTGTTGCTACTTTGTCATGCCGCTGCTTGTAATCAGTTTGTGCAATCTTCTTGCAACAGCTTACCAAGTGGTCCACTGTTTCTTCAGCTTCTTTGCATAGGCGGCACTTACTGTCTGTTGCTGTCTTCTCAATTTTGACTTTGTATGCATTTGTCCTTAAGGCTTGGTCTTGTGCAGCCAGAATTAGTCCCTCGGTCTCTTTCTTCAATTTTCCTGCTCTTAGCCATTGCCAGGTTTTATTATTATCTGCTTTCCCAGCTATTTTTTTCATGTATTGGCCATGTAGTGCTTTGTCTTCCCATGCCTCTATTCTGTTCTTCATTTGGTCTTTCTTGTAGGCCAGTTTGGTCTCTCCAGTAGTTAGTAAGCCTTCCTGATATACTAATTTCAGTGCATCTTCATCATTGTTCTTCAGATATTCTTCCAAAGCCATTTTTTCTTCTTCAACCATCTGATGTACTTGTAGCATTCCACGCCCACCTATTTGCCTTGGTAGATAAAGTCTATCAATGTCACTGCGTGGATGAAGGGCATGATTCATTGTCATTATTTTTCTGGTCTGCCTATCCATTGCTTTTAGTTCTGCTTGAGTCCAGTCCACTATTCCAGCTGTGTACCTAATGACTGGGATTGCCCAGGTGTTGATTGCCTTTATGATATTTCCTCCATTGAGTTTGGATTTTAAGATCTTCTTCACTCTCTTGATGTATTCACCTCTAATCTTTTTCTTGACTTCAGTGTGCTTGATGTTGTCAGCTTGAAGGATACCCAAGTATTTGTAGTACTCTTCCTCATCCAGACTCTTAATGTTATTTTCGTGGGGCATCTTGATTCCTTCAGTTTTCACTATTTTTCCTTGTTTGATAGTAAGTGTGGCACATTTGTCCAAGCCAAACTCCATTACAATATCTTGGCTATATATACGGACAGTGTTGAGCAGCGATTCTATTTCAGATGATGTTTTTCCATACAGCTTCAGATCATCCATGTAAAGGAGGTGGGATAGTCTGGCAGATGTTTTTGATGTTTGATAGCCATGTCCTGAGTTATTCAGTATTGTTGACAGAGGAAACAGTGCAATAACAAATAGTAATGGTGATAATGAATCTCCTTGAAATATTCCTCTCTTGATATTAACCTCTCCCAGCCTCTCACCATTGATCTGCAACTGTGTCTTCCATTGTGCCATCGATCTTTGCACAAATTTTCTGATGTTTCTACTGACTCCTGTTATTTCTAGGCACTTTATTATCCAATCATGTGGCAGAGAGTCAAATGCCTTTTTGTAGTCAATCCATGCCACATTCAGGTTGGTCTTCCTTCTCTTGCAGTTTTCCAAGATCATTTTGTCTATTAGGAGTTGATCTTTTGTTCCTCTGCTATTGGGGCGGTTTCCTTTCTGCTCAGGTGGAAAGAGATTGTTTTCAACTAGATGCTGTTGCACTGCATCAGCTACCACACCAGTTAGTAATTTGAAAGTTGTTGGTAAGCAGGTAATTGGCCTGTAGTTACCTGGTGTTGCCCCTTTTGCTGGATTTTTCATTATTAGGTAGGTTTTCCCAGTTGTTAGCCACTTTTCAATTTCTCCTCCTTGTAGTATATTGTTGAACTGCTTGGCAATGAGTGGGTGTATAACAGTTAGATGTTTCAACCAAAACCCATGCAGTTCATCTTCACCTGGTGCTGACCAATTTTTGATTTTCTTTGCTCTTTTTTCTACCATTTTTGTTGTTATTACTAGTTCTTTCATTTCAACTTCTGTTTTATTTGCATCCACCTCTTTTAACCAAGCCGCATCCTTGTTGTATTTCTTTGGGTTATCCCATATCTGCTTCCAGAACTGCACTGTTTCTTCCTTGTCAGGTACTGACTGATTCCTTGCAGTTTCTCCATTGATGGATTGGTAGAAACGTTTCTGATTGGATTGAAATTGGAGGTTCTGCCTATAGTTTGCAATTCGAGCTTCATATCTACTGATTTTCCTGGCTATAGCTGTTATTTGTTGCTTTATTATTTCCAGTGCTTCCTTGATCTTCCTTGTTTCTAAGTGGTATTTCTTGATTAGGTATTCTTTGGTCTTCTTGTTCTTCAGCTTCTTTTCTTTCATCTGTTCTAGCTTGCTTGCATGTGATCTTAACTTGCTGATCTTATTTTCTAGTCTAACCTTCCATTTTTCTGGTGCACTGTTTGTTTGTTTTTCTTCTTTGTTGATTTTGCATCCCAGGTATTCTGTTATAACTGCAGCTGTGCTGTACATTAGTTGGTTTGTTTCTTGCAGTGAATTGGTGCTTATACTTGATATTGCAGTATTTGCATCTTTTAATGCTTGTGCTAGCTGTTTCTTTGGAACAAGCTTCAATGCAGGTAGCCTTATTCTGTTGTTTTTGTGCTGTTCTAGATGCTCAGTTATTCTTTGTTTCAATTCTTTTATTTCTTTAGTTAGAGGGTTTTGTTCTTCCTGAGGTAGAGGTGCCTGGTTTCCAAATGAGAACAGTTGTATATCTCTGCTAGATTCCTTCACTGCCAACTCCCCCTGGTTTGCCTCTACATTCTGAATTACTTCTGGTAAGGCTTTGATTTCTTTGCCCTGGGTAAACCTTTGCAGTTCGTCCAATTCTGTTTCTGTGAA